GGATTTTATAACACACACATGTGAAGCAATATCACGATAGTCATCAAGCATGACGATAATTTCGATATATCGTCGCTCAAGTTTCTACCTTCGATACGATAATCGTGATTGAAAATATCGCGATAAATCGAAATATCGCCCAACCCTACTTAATGTTCCTGGTTAAATTTCCTGGTTAATTTAACCACAGTCCTTGTTACCTTGGTCATAGTCCTGGCTAATTTAACCAGGTTAATTTAACTAACCAGAGTATATTAGATGGATTGGTAACCAATAATTCCAGGTTAAACATTGGTAACCAATAATTCCAGTAATAGTATGGTTTCGAGTGCAATTTGGATAAAACATACACAAGTGAGTTTTTCAAAGACGATCAAAATAGCAGGAGGCCGAAGGACGATTGCAATTTGACGTCTTTGAAGAACTCAAGAGTGTATATTTTCCCAAATTGCACGAGAAAACATACTATTACTTATCAATAATATACATGAAAATGGTTCAACTCATTCATAATTTACACTCTATGTAATTTTATATTTTTGTTGCTTTTAGAACAACTATCAAAGGATCAATTGTTTTTCCCAACATTCATCACACAAGATCCACCGAACATTTATCATTGGTTAATGGAATGTTTGAAAGGAAATAAGGTAATGAGTGAAACTTATGTGCAGATTAGGGACCGGTCATCATTTATAAATGAGGGGAGGTTTCTCTGATCCAACCATTAAAAAGTCCCAAAAAATTTTACTCAATCTCAAATATCAATGAAAAGATAAATACCCACCCCTGACCAAAAACTGTACAAAAGGATATCATTCAGTTGTCACACATGTCCTTTACCACTGCTGTGACACGAGTTTGATAACTGCAGTCTAAAGTTTCATATTGTCTGCGCATGTAGTTTCGTTGGAGACACCATTTGTCTCCTGACAAATCGGAACGTGCATGGTCAAGATAGTGACTCTGACTGATTCACATATTGTATTGACATATGACTGTTGACATTGTTTTTTAGTCTTCAGTATTTGAGTGACTCGTGCTTTGGCAATGACAATAAATTTTTATTACCCAACCCTTGAGTTGTTTTGTTTTTCATTTACCCAACCTTTTACTTACTCAAAATTTTGTTTACCCAACCCTTTTCTCTTCGGTGCCACCCCCCACCATAAATAATGACCGGTCTCTTACCCTCTTAGAACAAATTTAAACTTTTAGACATTGCAACATTGAAAGTTTTTATTCTTTTTAGTTAATTTTGAGATTTTATGACATTTAATAAATTAATTTGTTTATGGTCGTTTTTAGGTTGACAAGTTTCCCATAATTCCAAACGTGTGTCAGCAAATATACAGAATAATAATGGTAAGTTTGTTTTTGTGAAACAAAACTTGATGAAATGTATACCAATATTAGCATGGGTTGTCTCAAAATTTCGACACTTTTCCCTATTTGAATAACCCACTAAAAATCGTTGTATCCACCCGTGAATTTCGTTGTTTTGCAAGAATTGTTTCGTTGTTTTGCAAGAATTGAACTGTTTTGCAAGAATTGTTGAATTTTGAACACATGTCGTCCTTGTTGTATCTGCGCGTACGCGCAGTTTACAATGTTATTCTGCGAGTACGAATCTCTCTCCTTCGCAGAGCCTCCTTAAACATTTTCATGTAACTTACTTACATGAAGTTTTCGCACAGTGTAAAACGAGCTGACGGGGAGTGTGGAGGAGAGACAGCAATAATATTTTCTAGCCAATTATTATTTGCACTTCACAACTTTTGGCTAAAACTGTCGCATGCAACCTGCTTACAACTTGAGTTGTACTGTGTAAATCAAGCACACAACTCACCTACGTTGTCTTTAGTCACTAGAAAGAAACACTGATCTTTGAATAACTGGATATGCATAATAGCCATATTGAATTTAAGCGCGTCGGAGCCTGGGACCTACATTTAATATACCAACTTTTCCTTCGACTAAGTGCACCTTTTCCACTGAAAACCTCAGTTACAGGGCTGGTGATTTTCAAATTAATTATCGTGATTATTTTCCGAAATCAGTATTTTGATGCATGACAAGATATTTATGTAGTCGCCATGTCTAAAACACGGCCGCGAGCGAAATACCATTTAATGGTTTAAGGTTTCAACAAAAGTTGCCCATTGCGTGGAATCAGGGCCGCCGAGAGGGGGGCAGGGGCCCGAGTTGCTGGGGGGCCCTGAAAAATTTTTGTTGAGCCCCAGCCTTTTTGTGTGTTAAATATTTCCGCGCAAAGGACAAGATATCTGTTCTCTTGGGCTAAGTACCAAATTTTGGCATAAAAAAATGAGATAAACTCCCTCGAAAGCAATTGCAACGTACTCGTCCGGAAAAATTTTGTACTCCGGAAAAAAATTTTTACCCCTAAAATGGTACACTGACCGAAAATTTTTTGGCGACGGGGGGGACGTTGTTGTCCGGAAAAAAATTTTTCCGGGAAAAAATTTTTTAGATAGGAGCCCCTAAAAAAAATTTGCCCCGGGCCCCCGCCAACCTCTCGGCGGCCCTGCGTGGAATTTGTGATCGTATCAGGAAATGTTACAAATAGTGCTAGTGGTCACAATCATTATCAATCATGTATATGATATACTTTTTCGCTTAAACGATCTGAAGTATATAAAATGCCGAAAATATTAGATAGTACCAGTTTAGAAATGACAGCCTTTTAGTTTTACATTATAAATTATTACGACATTAGCTATATATTTATAGTAACCACCGTCATTCTTAATTTTATGACAGATCTCATAACAACTAAATCCAGTTTCGGAGGTAAATGCGATACATTATTACAAAGATAAAATATCATATAAACTTTAAAAAGATGTTTTTGACCGAGTCATGTATTTCGCGCTCACGCGCGCGAAATTCATGAGCCGTCCCGGTTGATTAGGTATTTCGCAGAGCTAGAGGTCAGAAATTTCGCTTGATACCGGATAGGTTTCCGTAGCGACGTGAAAGAAACACCTATATCCGTACTTTTTAGGAACGCTGTTTCAGAGAAATTATTGCAATGGAGAGATGTTTCGTTCAGCTTCTGAAAGTTATACATTCTGTATCGGATATAAGTGCTTTTTCGCACCACAATAAGGAAAGCTATCCAGTTAGTGTAAACAAAGACGAAAGGTCCATACAGATCGAACGCGATTCCACAACGCGACGCGAATTTTCAGTTTTTAAAAACAAATAAAACCGTCAACGGATAAAAATTTTACAAGATATGCAGACCAAATAGCTAAAATTGCTTAAGTGGATCCGAATATTTGAAAAGCATAGAAAAATAGAAATGTTAAATGTCATCGAAAATTCGCGTCGCTATGACGAATTGCGTCCGGTCTGTATGGGCCCTTAATTGGTTGAAATGAGCATAGCACATAATGAGGATAATGAGAATAAAGTCTGCAGTTGACAATTAGTCCAACTCTGAATAAAACTGGCCAATGCTCGAAGCAGCTCGCTTCGCCATTTCTGTAAATACTCAACGGTATTCACCGAAGATCATTAAGGGTGCAAAGAACGCGCTTGCCAATCACAAAAGCCAACCAACTAACCCACCCTCCCTGGGAACAAATGTTGGCCGTTCTACACTGAAAATTCTACGCAATAAAACACTAGTGCGAATAAGTAATTAACATCTTTATTATTAATTGTAATCAAGTTCACAACTTTCCTAACAGATTGTGAAGAATTAAATAAAATCATTATAAATAGTTTCTTACATGAATTAATTGTTACAATATTCGCCGTGCAACGCTATAAAATTTCGGGTATCAAGGCAGATTAATTGTTTGTTGCTTAGAATATATATGTCAATGTCTCGCGAATCTCACTATCTAAATATTGGCGTTGCTCATTGTATTTTGGGTCATCTTTGTCATCTTCATCGTCTGTTGGCTCATTTTCATTGTCTTTTGGCTCATCTTCATCGTCTTTTGGCCCGTCTTCGTCATCCATCATCGAAAAAAGATACTTCCAATCATTCTCCTCCATTCCGCTTACAGTTATACCACTTTGTATCAACTCTTGTATTCCAGCTCTTGCATTTTTGTGTAGTTGTTCCTCATTGTCTCCTCGTTGTTGTCGTTCTAACCGAAGTGCGTGAGTTATTTTGATGCGCAAACGTATGCGTTTGGGTTGTAGTATATCATAATATATTCTTTTCAGTATATCACAACAACTTTGGTTGGTCTAGTCCCTCTTGAAACTGTGGATTTGTTGCATGGTTGGTATGTGATATAAAGGGTTATTGTTCCATTATGGTTCTTTTCATTTTCCACCTTTGCTGTCAACACTCCATGTCGGATGTCACAATCAAAAAAGTTTTCGGCGTGGTTTTTGTTGACATAGCAATTGGTGTATCTTGCTTGATATACAAGATCTTCTCGTGCGTCTTCAAATTTTACAAGAGCAACTACTTTTCTGGGTTGATTTTCGACAATGCAATTGTCGTCAAGACAAGGACTATTGTAAACATGGTAGAATGCAGCGCAGAGTTGAGCTCTCGATCCAAGATTTTTATTGTTCAAAGCGTTAATTTCTGTGATATGCCCATCTTCACGGGGATAAATTGGAAAGCAGTAGACCTTATGACAATTCTCTCGAACTCCGGCCATCGTTCTGTTCAAATGAAGAAACTATATATGGGTTTGCTATATAGCATAAAGCATGCTATGCTAAAATACTATTACGACTTAAGCACTAGCATTGCATGTAGTGCGATAACTATAACGAATACCGTATTGTGTTTATAGTGAAAACGGGATTCAAAGTGGGACTTATGATTTATTTTTAAAGATAAAGGGGAAAAAACGAGTCTTATCCAGTTTAAGAGCACGAAAATGGGCTATTACAATTAATAACTCAAAACTTTTATCATAAACAGGGTGCAAGGGGGGGGGGGGGGCG